AATTATGAATAAAATGTTTTCGAAAATTGTACTTGCTGCTAATTTTTGATTTTTCTGCTTATAACACGCATTCAGAATATTAGAAAGGGTTCAAAAATGTGCGAATTAAATTTCATGAATTTTTTCTGAGATCATGGACGTATTCATCTGTCACTGTCAAGCACAAGTACAACCGTGGGAGGTAATTTTTTTGATTATTGAGAAAAACACCTGAGGATTTACTTTTTCGGTTCTTCCTGAAAAAAAAGCTTCTAGGAGCAAAAATGATGATTCTATTTATAAAAGGTTTCCTTTTAGCTGAAATTTCACCGAAAATTCGCCCAATTAACTTGGAATTTGATATAAAAACGACCAGTGCTTCAAAAAAAAAAACAAATTTAGGTCAAAAAACATTTTTGCAAGTCTTTGACATGCTCCAACTGCCAAAGCAAGCTCACTCCCGACGAGGCTCACTTCCACTTCTTGTCTGGATGCACAGCAGCTCCTGCAGCCCGGCCGTCATCGGTGCCACTGAATTTCGAGGAGCCAGCAGTCCTCACGGTAAGAGCCTTGACTTCTGCTGCCTTTTCTGGAAATATATAATTACAGACAGCTTTTTAGAAACATAGAAAATCGAAAGAAGGAATAGTAAACTGATAGTTTATATTATAAAAAACAGCTAAAACGGAATTTTTTTTTTGGGTTTGAGATGAAAAATTGTAAAGTTTTCAAAATTTCAGAAAGGAGTATCTGAGCCTACAGTCAAGCCAACTGAAGAAGAGCGCAACCACGCGGCGGAACAACTTCGAGCTATTGTGGTAAATCATTACTTAATAAGTAAATTAGCGAGTTTCTCACAACGAAAATAAGAAAAAACATATTGGATTGCATCCGAAACTTAGGAAATGCTCAGAATTTTCAATTTAATTAACAATAATTTTTAAGGAGGAGCAGCATGTCAGACAGCGTCAACCGCGCATAGTCCGGACATTTGAAGAGTTGGAATCAAATGAAATCCGCGAGATTCCCATTGATGTTCCGGAACGGCGAAACTCCGCAGCAGATCACACGGTACGAAAGACATGAAATTAACTTGGAGGACGCTATTAGCTTGAGAAATAGAAAAGTTTGAAGAAAAAAAACCAATTTTCGGAGTAATTTGATCAAATTTGAACATGAAAAATAACAAACTAAGGGCAAAAGCTAAGGAAATAAAAAGCAAGAAGTCTAAAAATTTGGGAATCTGTTTTTTATGTTCAACAATTTCAGATGAGCTATTGCTCTCTGCTCCACGTGTTCTTTCTTGGACTCAACTCACTGGTTCGCGATTTCGCCACTAGCCCGTACCAGAAACATTGGCATGAAGTCGGGAATGTTGTCTTCAACGTCACATTCTTGGCAATCATCTTTGGGTGCAACTGTACGTTTTTTTGATCAATGAAATATGATAGAATGCAACAAAGAGCAGAAAAAAGTGCAATTCAAATGGATTTTTTAGACGTGAAAAAAGAGGCATTCGAAGAAAGCCGGAACAAAACTCGCCGCATCCTCAATGTGATGTGTGTTCAAGGATCGCAGCTAAGCCTTGTCACAACTGCCGCCGCCACCTGCTTTCCATTCCTTCCATCGCTCTACAACGTGTTCATGAACACAGTGTTTGGAGTTGAGAGCATGGCCACGTCAAAGCCGGGCTTCGCCCACCAATTCGTTCCGTTCTTCGCCTATTTCGTCGTGGCGTTGTTGCTACTCGGAGAAATTCTTCGCCGGTAAGTTGCAAGAGAGAGAGAGAGAGAGAGAGAGAGAGAGTGAAAACTAACCGACTACATTCGGAAAAAAAATTGACTGCATTTGGAAAAAAAATCGAAAAATTGAAAGGAAAAATGGACTGGATTTTGCAATCAGCCAGAATCTTAGCGGAATAGCGGAGCATCGTACTCGAATTTTTTCGGCGCCAATTTTTTGTTTTCAAAAAAATATTTTTTTTTTCGCTTTTACACGCTCTTTTTTTTCGGTTCAATTTCGCAAGAGGAAGATTTTTTGAACTCTTTTCTATAATTCAGTTTGTAGTAAATTTAATGTATTTAAAAAACCCACAAAGTTTGGTATGTTTTCGGAACGCATACGACAAATTTTTGAGATTATTCCAAAAAAAATATCATTTTCATTCCGAAAACATACCGAATTTCAGGTTCCGTTGCCCTATCGTCAAGTACATTCCATGGTTGAAAGAGTAACATAAAAATTGTATATGAATTTGAATTAAACATTTTGATTTGTTAAATATTTTTTCTGCTTTTTTAAAATATCTTCATTCAATTTTCTCAAAATTCATTCATTTCATACTTCCCATTATTTACCTGATAAATGTATTCTCGATGCGTAAATTCCTTGCGAAATTTCACAGTTTTTAGCTAGAATTTCATTTTACATTTACTTCAGATATCTCAGCAAATCCCGCCGAATTCGAGTCGGATCGAATCTGCCCATCCGCTCTGATCGTCGAAAAGTTGTGTGTGGATGGAGAGCACAGTCACTGGCAAGCCGTCCAATCACTATCCGAATGGCTTCGGAAAGCCGATGTTCCGTGTCTCTCCGGAATCGATGTTCGTCAATTGGTCAAGAAAATCCGTGAGACGGGAAGTATGAAGGCGAAACTCGTCATCGAGTCAGATAACCCACAGAACTTTGACTACGTCGACGTCAATGCTGAGAATCTCGTGGATTTCGTTTCGCGAAAAGAGCCAAATGTCTATGGCACCGAAGATCAAACGATTCTTGCTGTTGACTGTGATATCAACAGTGTAGGCGCGTGTAGTAATTCCGCAGAGGCTGAGAAACAGTAGTCAGCGCGAGAATCAAGCGGGAGAAAGCACTCGAAACGCGGAAAGGGAAAAGCAGGAAATAACACCCGAAAAGCAGAGGCGGTAGAGAAAAACTCTCGCTCCCTCCGCTTTTCGCGTAATATTTCCTTTTTTCCCTGAAGAGTAGGCGTCTTCCCACCCAAAACAAGTGAAGTCGAACGCCGCATGCGCTTTCCTTGTACGTGATTCTGCTGATCAGAACTAATTATTGTTAATTTTTCAGAATTTTTCGTCTTTTGTTTCTAGAAGTCCTGCCCAGATTTCAATTCTCAGATTCCCAGGTAATAATTGTTCCGTAATCTTTCCCGTCGGTTAATCGATACTTTTTTTCAGAATCACCTCTCCAGAAATCGAAAGATTTTCAGATTTTTGGTGAGTTTCCTCTTCACAAAATATATGATTTTTATGAAAGTAATTCAGTTTCAGTAGCTATGGACTCCGAGCTGACAAGCAGGATAATCGAGTGGAACGAGATTCACCGAATCTACGGGATTTTTCAGATGAGTTCGTTGCAGACTTTAGGATCAGTTTTCCGCCAAAAGTTTCGATTTTTTCTCGTTTTGCGAAAGTCATAGACAATAATTCATTTGTTTTCCACAGAAAAATAGGAAAGTTCAACAGAAAAAGTGTTGATTAGAGGCCATTGAGTTTCATAACCCTGTTTTTGAATATCTAATATCAATTTCATCAATTCTTGTCGTACCATTTTTCCTATTAAAAACATGGAAATATTGTTGATTGATATGTCAAAACCCTCCTGGAGAGTGGATAGAGTTAGGTGTTCAACAATCGAACATCTAACCTTTCTGTTTTCTTGGAGGCATCAGACCATGCCTTCTTTACTCATTTTTTCTTTCAGTGAGTTTATCAATAGGGTGCGTTTTAGCCTCATATTGCAGGTGAATGTGTGCTACATTTATGACCGATGTCGGCCCTTATGGAAAACTAGTCCTCCATAACTGATACTAATAATTGTTTTTAGAAATACACTTTCTCTTCATCAAAAAAGAAGAAATGTCGAAAAAAAAAGACGATAGCCACTGTTTTTGGCTAGCAGCGGTAATTTCCTGATTTCGGCCTTTTCCTCTATTCGAAGAAATTTGAGATATTATGTTGAAAAAAAACAAGTTCTTGTACAAAAAATTCTGAGGTTAACTTTCATGTTGAGCAGAAAACCAGAAGTTTTTTTTAGGAAATTAGTGGGATCTCAGCGAAAACAATGGATTTTGACGTTCGATAGCTTACACTGTAGCTTTTGAGCTCCCCTTCAATTATTACTTCCTACTTCTCAAAGAAAATGTGTTTTTCGAGTCAAAAAAGCTATAAAACTGTCATTTGCGACGAGAGGGTATGGCGAAAGCGAGAAGCAGGGAGTACTCTGTTTTCATATTTCTAACTCTGGCTCAGGCGCTTTTGTTACAACTCCTTCAACAGAAACTGCGGATCTCATACTTGTGACGGGCCGGCCCGGTCGGCCTGGAAAATTACCGCGAATTTTGAAAAATCAAAAAAAAATGCCTTAATTTTGTGCGGTTATTATATATATTGAGCATAAAACACGCGGACGTAAAGTTTTCGGAATTCCGCAACAACTGATTTTTACAGAGAGAGGTTTCAGTCAAACAATGTTAAGATTTTTAAAAAATTCAATTTTTTTTTGAATCCGGCCGAGCCCTGGTTTTTTTTCTCGGCCGGGCCAAAGTTTCAGAAAAAAGTGCTGAACATTTATTGAAAAAAGGAACCTGAAAATCAGTTGGAAAATTGAGAAAAATGGTTACATGCAACTGTGCAACCACCAAACATGCAACCACCAAAAGAAAATTCCAAAAGCCACGATATCTCATCACGAAAACTACCGTATAAACTTTATTGCTACCATAAAAAGGCTCAATTTAAATAATACGGTAGTTTTCGTGGTGAGACAGTTTGGTTGTCGGGAATTCGGCTACAACTGGCATTTGCATTATCAAACCACGCAAAACAACCACCAAAAATAAAATGTGGTGAAAGGTGTGGTAATCATGTAGAATCTATCGTTGAATTCACCATAGGAATAGTATCGGAACGCAAAGACCGCCATACAGATGACCAGGGAGAAGTAGATGGAGAATACGCATCGAAATTTCTGGAAAATTTATTCTAGAAATAAACGAAAACAACTGACGTCCGTGGGATTCGAACCCGCGCCAAAAAATTGCAAAACAACAGCATTAGCCACTACACCACGCAGGCGACAGTGGCGCGGCAGAGAGAAGCGCCGTGTGGTGTAGTGGGTAACGCTGCTATTCTAGAAACTTTCGGTGCGGGTTCGAACCCCATAGATGTCGAATCTTTTTGTTTTTTTTTAGAATCACTCACCAACCACCTCCGTGCGCTATCCAATGATTTACTCTTCCGCTTCAATGGCAGAACTTGCTCCACATAGAAAATCATCAGTTTCATTTGCTCTGCTTCCAATATTCTCAGCATTTCGTCCTCCGTTTTACCCGTTTTCATCTTCTCATACTCCAATGGTTGGACCGATGGTGGTGGATCATCAATCAATTCAAAGCTGGAATTAACAAATTGACTTCGAAATTCTGAAAAAGCTTACCCAGCGCCAGGTGACTGAATGATGATGAAACAGAAGAGAAAAATGAAAAAAAGGGTTTGGGACAGTGTGAAAATCAGGGAACCGTCGATGGTTGTGTCCCATGTATAGTAGAAGTGATAGATCAAGAAACCGAGGATAAAAAGCAATACAGTCCACAGAAAAATTGCGTAGAGTTTCTGAAAGAAAAAAAAAGAATTTGAAACTTGGGCGGAATTGAACTCGCGTCCAAGATTTCCAAAACAGCAGCGTTATCCGTTACGCCACACAGGCGCGGCATGCCGCCTCTTTCTCTGCCGCGCGGATGGCGCCTGTGTGGTCTAGTGGCTAACGCTGTTGTCTAGAAAATTTTCGACGCTGGTTCGAGTCCGAAGGGCCGTCAAATTTTTTTGTTGTTTTTTGGGAGCCCCCATACAACAAAAACTTACAATAGAGTGAAATTGGACCTCCCGTTCATTGCATCTACGCTTGTAATACCTTCTGCGCAGTGCCAACTCCAACTCCATTTCTTTCGTTTCTTCGAATTCCTCTTTGGATTGGGTAAAACACAGATTTCTCTGATATGTCACGTCGATCGTTATTCGTCTAGCGAGTTTAGCTGCTTTTTCAGTGTTTGTGGACTTTGAAAGCAATTTCATCAGGTCTCGAAGAACCTGGGTCGATCTATATCTCCATTGTTTTTTGAAAACGGGCTTCTCGTCTTCGTCTATCACGATTTTTTGCGACATTTTGGGCGTTCAGGACCAATTATCGATTATTCTGGGGTGATGCGACGACGACAGATGTGTTCTTCTTGGAGTGACTGACCAAATGGCCAGTAGTGTCCTTTGGGAAGCTGTGTGTAGGGTGTATGCACCCTAGACACCGTATTCTACGACAGTTCCGGTTATCTCACTTTTTCGGGGTGTTTGCGTACCTGGCATCGAATTTGACGACAGTTTTGCTTTTTGGAAGTTTTGGACGGTTCTTAAACTGTTGTCAGATCTGACGCCGAGTCCGCAAACACCGTAACCAGAAGAAAAACGAGCCAGCAAAATTCATATGGCTCAACGACATTAAAAAACTCGACATCTCGAAACCGAGTTGGCCCGGAGGGCCACAGTATTTTCGGCTGCAAACGCTTTTCAAATGCCTACTCATTTGTTTTGATTAGTTCATATTGATAACATTGGATCATTTTTAGACTTTTTCAACCATACTTTTAGAATCCTTATCACGTTTTCCTTTTTCACACCTCAAAACACCTGCTCATCTTTTTTTTCAACTTCCAAATTCTCCCTCCATTGTCCGTGCTGTCTCAACAGTTTCTATTCAGTATTTTTCTTTGATAACGTGGTCTAATATTTTTT